GTGTAAAAAATTCTGGCTGCCCAAAAGTAAAAAACGGGCCCAAAGAAAACTTTTCTGTGGCCCTAATTAACGTTCTGTGGCCCCCATACAAATTCTGTGTCCCCCGTAAAAATTTCTGGTCTTCCCCTAAAGTAACTTTCGGGGCCCAATTTAAGGGTTTCTGGGGCCCCAAGAAGTTTTCTGTGGCCCTAGTAACAATTCTTTTCCTCAGAAAAATTTTTTTGCCCTAGTAAAAATTCGTGCCCCTTTTTTTCCGGGAAGAAAAATTTTCTGGGGCCAAAAGTAACGCTTTTGGCCCAAAATAACTTTTCTGGGGCCCCCTAAGAAAGTTTCTGGGCCTAAGTAACTTTCTTGGGCCCTCATAACAAATCGGGGTCCTAAGAACAATTTTGTGTCTGTCCCAAGTAACAATTCTGGGGCCCCAAGGTAACTTTCTGTGGCCCAAGTAACTTTGGGGGCCCTAGAAAAAAAAATTTGGGGCCCTCAGAAACAACGGTGTCTGTCCTAAGAAACAATCTGGGGCCCAAGTAATTTTTTCTGTGGCCCTAAAAATTCTGGGCCCCTAAGAAAAAGGGGGAAAAATTTTCTGTGGCCCTAAGAACTTTTTTGTGGCCCAAAGTAACGTTCGGCCCCTAGTAACAATCTGGTCCCTAAATAAAAATTCGTGTCTGCCCCTAAGTAACAATTCGGGGCCCCTAAGTAAACGTTTTCTGGGGCCCTAAAGAACGTTTTTTGGGGCCCTTTAAGTAAAAAATTCTGTGGCCTAGAAAATTGGGGGGGTTTCTGTCCCTAAAAACCTTTTTCCCTTTTCTGTGGCCCTCAGTAACAAATCTGTGCCCCTCAGTACATTTGTTGCCCCTAAGTAAAAATTTTTGGGCCCCAAGAAAAACGTTTCTGTGGCCCTAAGAAACTTTTCTGTGGCCCAAAAATTTTTTAACATTTCTCGGAAAATTCTTTTTGTCCTAATAACTTCTGTCCCCTGTCCCTAAGTAACGTTTTTTGGCCCTAAGTAACTTTTCTGTGGCCAAGAAAGTTTCTGTGGCCCTCAGTAAAAATTCTGTGTCCCCAATAAAATTTTGTGTCGTCCCTAAGAAACCTTTCTGGGGCCCCTAAGAAGTTTCTGGGGCCCTAAGTAACGATTTTGGCCCTCGTAACAATCTGTGTCCTCTCAGTAACAATTCTGTGTCTGTCCCTAAGTAACAATTCTGTGGCCCTAAGTAATGTTTCGGTGGCCCCTTAGTATTAATAATCTAAAAAAAGTAAAAATACGATTCTGTAGGCCCTCACCTGTAACCATTCTGTATTCCTCTCTGTAACAATTCTGTCTGTCCCTGTAGTAACAATTCTGTGTCCTGAGTACAATTCTGTGTCCCTGAGTAACGTTTCTGTGGCCCTAAGTAAACTTTCTGTGGCCCTAAGGGCTGTGTCCCTCACTAACAATTCTGTGTTTGTCCCTAAGTAACAATTCTGTGGCCCTAAGTAACGATTCTGTGGCCCTCAGCAACAATTCTGTGTCTGTCCCTAAGTAACAATTCTGTGGCCCTAAGTAACGTTTCTGTGGCCCTAAGTAACGATTCTGTGGCCCTCAGTAACAAATCTGTGTCCCTCAGTAACAATTCTGTGTCTGTCCCTAAGTAACAATTCTGTGGCCCTAAGTAACGATTCTGTGGCCCTCAGTAACAAATCTGTGTCCCTCAGTAACACAATTCTGTGTCTGTCCCTAAGTAACAATTCTGTGGCCCTAAGTAACGATTTTCTGTGGCCCTAAGTAACGATTCTGTGGCCCTCAGTAACAATTCTGTGTATCCCTCAGTAACAATTCTGTCTGTCCCTGTCCCTGAGTAACAATTCTGTGTCCCTAAGTAACGTTTCTGTGGCCCTAACTAACGATTCTGTGGCCCTAAGTAACGTTTCTGTGGCCCTATGTAACGTTTCTATGGCCCTAAGTAACGATTCTGTGGCCCTAACTAACGTTTCTGTGTCCCTAAGTAACGTTTCTCTGTCCCCTAACTCTCTCCCTGCATACACCCAGGTCTGCCTCTGTTGAATGACTGGAGGCAAATGGAGAATTCTAAAATGGCCGCCATTTATAGCTCGACCATTACACTGTGCTGGCTGGCTGGCTGCTGATTGGCTAATGCGATCACATGTCATGAATGATGCATTATGGGTCAGCGCGCCTTGTCTGCGCGCCTTCCCAGACATCCCCGCTCCGTCGCCGCACATGTCGTCGCCATTTTAGGAAAAATTTCGATTCGCGCATCCGAAGTCTGCTTATTTTCGGATTCAAAATTTTCCTAATATTCGAAACGAATTCCACTTCGCCTACTTCGATTCGCTCATCTCTAGTGATAATATATAATGCATGTTTGATATTGAAAGAAAAGTGGCAGCAATGGAGAAGTTTGTTTAGTAGCATCTGGCGCGATTTAGTGATCCTAAATTAACTTTTTCTGAGTGGTCACTTATAAGAAAATATCAACCAGGGCATGGTTCAATACTTAAACCTCTGCATAGTCATTAACCCCAGCATTGCACAATAATTAACCCCTAGCATTGTACAACAGCTAACCCCCAACATTGAACAACTATTAACCCTCAACAATGCACAACAATGAAACCCCAAAATTTCACAAACAATTAGCTCTCAACATTGCACAGTACTTAACCTCCAGTGTCACACAATAATTAACATTGCATGATTAACCCAGTATCACAGCAATTAACCCCCAGCATAGCACAGTAATAAACACCCAGCACAACAAAATAATAAACCCCAGTACAGCACTGTAATTAACCTCCATCAGTACACAATAATTAACCCCCAACATTGCACAATAATAAACCCCCACCAGTATAGCAATCGGTGTGCCCCCTTCATTGTGCAACATAGCATGCAGAGTGAAGAGGTCAACACTATATGATGTATAGAGTGTGTGGGTCAAGACTACGTACAACATTTATTCCTCAGTGTGCCCTCTTACATTGGTGATCAATACTCTTCAAGTTCTCTTTCATTAGTGGTTAGTATGCATCTACAGAATGATTGTTAGTTTGCCCCCTGTACAAAGGTGATCAGTATGTCCTCTGTATATCAATAAGAATAAATAAAAAATATAGTAGTGATGGTGTCATTCTAGGCCTGTGCCTAGTGTACCTGCCCAGTTCTCAGAGGTTGATGGAAATTGTAGTTTCCTTTTCCTGTAGAGAGAGAGAGGGATATGATGTAATCCCTGCTGTTACTCCTCCTCCTTGGCAGAGCAGATGCTGTTATCTTTTGAATAACAGAGATGATTTCCTAAAAATTCAATTAGACTTTTCTCTTCAATGCTAAGGAATTTCACAAATGTATTAACTGTTTATTGTTTTGTGTAGGGGGGTGAACTAATGGGTGATTTTTTTGTCCTATCTTGGATTTCTTTAAGAAATGTTGTAGAGCTGCAATCTCTACATAGTGGTGAACCACTACATATAATAATAAATGTATAGTTGATGCACATATTTTACATTTATTATATGTATGGTGTTTACCACTATTTGCACATTGCAGCTCTGTAATATTTCTTAACATTTGCAGATAGGGTGACACCATCACTACTATGTTCTACTACACTGGTTGATTTGCACCTCTGCTATTAATATTGTACGTAGAAGGCTTCACCATTATTTGCAATTTACAGTTTCTCATATTTCTGCACAGAGAATGACACCATCACTACTATATTGCAACACAGTTGATTTGCACTGGATATTCAATTATTTATACAGTATTTTTCGCTCCATAAGATGCACCTGACCATAAGACGCGCCTAGGTTTTAGAGGAGAAAAACAAGAAAGAAAATATTCTGAACCAATGGACTGCAGACACAGTACAGGGGATGACCAGAGACTGCGGATATAGTACAGGAGATGACCAGAGACTGCGGACACAGTACAGGAGATGACCAGAGACTGCAGACATAGTACAGGGGATGACCAGAGACTGTGGACATAGGACAGGGGATGACCAGAGACTGCGGACACAGTACAGGAGATGGCCAGAGACTGCGGACACAGTACAGGGGATGACCAGAGACTGCGGACACAGTACAGGAGATGACCAGAAACTGCGGACACAGTACAGGAGATGACCAGAGACTGCGGACACAGTACAGGAGATGGCCAGAGACTGTGGACACAGTACAGGGGATGACCAGAGACTGCGGACACAATACAGGAGATGACCAGAGACTGCGGACACAGTACAGGGGATGGCCAGAGACTGCGGACACAGTACAGGAGATGACCAGAGACTGCGGACACAGTACAGGAGATGACCAGAGACTGCGGACACAGTACAGGAGATGACCAGAGACTGCGGACACAGTACAGGAGATGACCAGAGACTGCGGACACAGAACAGGAGATGACCAGAGACTGCAGATATAGTACAGGAGATGACCAGAGACTGCGGACACAGTACAGGAGATGACCAGAGACTACAGACAATAAAGGAGATTACCAGAGACTGCAGACCTTTGGGGAGGGAGGGGGAACGGGTACCTGAATTTGACAGGTACCCGGCTCCCACTTCCACGGAGTTGTCTTTCTTTCTTCCCGCGGCGGCTTCTGTGACAGCCGGGTGCCCACTGCGCATGCGTGAGAAGCGCTGCGCTTTGTGAATGGCCCAGAGCCTTCTGAGACTTGTCATGTGTCCCAGAAGACACCGGACCATTCACAAAGTGCGGCGCTTCTCGCGCATGCGCAGTGGGCACCTGGCTGTCACAGAAGCCGCCGCGGGAAGACTGCAGCGCTGGAGCGAGGAACAGGTAAGGTCCTGCAGGAGAGAAGAGCTGAGCGGTCAGCCCAGTATTCTGACATGGTGGCGGCAGAAATACCGGACCGGCCGCTTTACATTCGCTCCATAAGACGCACTGACATTTTTCCTCCTTTTTTGGGGAGAAAAAAGTGCGTCTTATGGAGCGAAAAATACGGTAGGTTTTACCATTGCACTTATAATCCATTTGTACTCTTTTATAGAGGAGGATTATGCTGTATTTTTTATTTGTATTGATATACAGAGGACATGCTGATCACCTTTGTACTGGGGGCACACTAACCATCATCGTGCAGATGCGTACTGACCACTAATGTAAGAGAGCTTGAAGAGTATTGATCACCAATGTAAGAAGGCACACTGAGGAACTATGTTCTAATACACTGGTTGATTTGCAGATCTGCTATTATTATTGTACTTAGGGGGTTTCCCCTTTGATTGCACATTGAAACTCTGAAATTTCTCAATCTATTTTGCAGAGAGGATGACACCATCATATATTGCAATACATTGGTTTATTTGCACTTGATATTCATATATAGGTTTTACCATTGCACATTTAAGTCTAATTGTACTACTTTATAGAGGTAGTGTAGGTTTGCACTGCATTTCTTGCTTTTTATTGATTCATGTTGAATGTGGGGACACATATCAATTCTAGCAGCAACCAGCTAAAAAGATTGTGGTTATTGCGTTTGAGATTTTCTTTGGTTGCATGGGAGTTCTTTTATTTGATTTAGTATGTCCTCTGTATACTAGTAGCCAGTGGCCCTGCATACTGGTGGTCAGTGTGCCACTGTATACTGGTGGTCAGGGCTCTTTTCTCAATGAATAGGTGCAGGATCCGACCATGGTCCCACCACAATACAAATGACCCCCTCTCCCCCTTTAGGAGGAGAGCATGCCGCATCAAATGGCTGGTCTGGCCCACTGTTAGTACAGTTTGCTCAGAGTGCGGGGCTCAGGAGTGTGCTATTCATAGAGTGAAGGGTTGAGGAGAGCGCAGTGTGTTGCTTACAGCACGCAGGGCTAAGGAATGTGTTACATGCACGGTGCATTATTTTATTTTTTTTACATCCAGGATGATAGTTTATTGAAAAGTGGCATAGTACAATAACAGCAACAAACAAGCAATACAAAGCAGTACAGTGAGACAACAATATTCGAAGACAGAAAGCAAGAGAATACAAAATAAGTCAGTGCAACCTATCGGTTGTAGAGGAGCAGGGTTCACAGCAAAGTCAGTGGCTATGCAACCAGTTAACAAGTGAAACATCGATAATGTAGCATATTCATTGTTCCGTCCAGGGTTGCCAAACCTTATCGAAGTTCCCAGGACAGTCTCTATTAATGTATGTCAACTTGTACATAGGTAACACTGCATTAATGAACGTTTTCCACGAGGCCACTGGGGGGAGGTCCAATGATGAAGTATCTCCTTCTTGGCATAATATAATAGATAGGAAAGAATAAATTTGGTGTGGCGAGGCCTCTGTTCATCATCCTGTATTCCCAACAATGCAAGCTCAGGGGAGAGTGAAAGGGACAGCCGCAGCTGGGTGTTGACACAGGTAAACACTTCTGTCCAAAACTGCTCCACTTTAAGACAGATCCAAAACATATGAAAGTAGGTGCCCTCCCCAGAATGACAGTGGGAACAGTAAGCGGACCTCTGTGGATACATTCTGTGCAGTCCCTGAGGTGTGTAGTATACCCTATGCAAAAAATTTGTATGCAGCAATTTATCTCTAGAGGAAATAACCAATGTAGAACTATCTTCAAAAGCACTGTGTATGTTTAAATGTTTGGGCATGCGCTACATACAGAGTACAAGGTTTAATAATGCACTACATACACAGTGCAGAGATCAGGAGTGTGCTCCATACACAGTGCAGGGATCAGGAGTGAGCTACATACACAATGCAGAGATCAGGAGAGTTAATCTACACAGCGCTGAGATCAAGAGTGTGCTACGTACACAGTAAAGAGATCAGGAGTGCGCTACATACACAATGCAGAGCTTAGGAGTGCACTATGTACACAGTGCAGAGATCAGGAGTGAGCTATGTACACAGTGCAGAGTTCAGGAGTGCGCTACGTACATAGTGCAGAGTTCAGGAGTGTGCTACATACAGAGTGTAACGTTTAAAAGTGTGCTATGCACACAGTGTAGAGTTCAGGAGTGCACAGTACAGAGATCAGAAGTGTGCTATATACACAGTGCAGAGATCAGGAGTGTGCCACATACAGGGTGTAGAGATCAGGCATTTGCTATGCAAACAGTGCATGGTTCAGGAGCGTGCTACGTACAAAGTGCAGGGTTTAGGAACACGCTGTATACAGAGTGTAGCATTCAGGAGTGTGCTGCGTACAGGATGCAGCGATCAGGAGTGTGCTATGTACAGAGTTTAGCATTCAGGCATGCGCTACATAGAGCACAGAGTTGCTAATTAGCGGATTCTCTTGAATAGATTGCATTTGGTGGTGGTACTAGCCACCAAACTTAATATGGGATATCATTGACACTAACATGAGAAGGGAAAGATAGTACAGAGGGAAAGTCCACATTGCTTTTATTTAGATTCAGGGCTCTTGCACATAGGTGGCTGAGGCCATTCTTAATTGCAGTTGAATTTCCTTTGACCACGCAGCACAGGTGCGGTGTACAGCCTGTCATTGACATGAATAGCTGTACTCTGCTGTACTTATGGTTAGGATTGCACCACTGTATAGGGAAATACAGCAACATACAACCATTCATGTAAATGATAGGGTGTAGACTGCAGCTGGGCTGCTATTACACTGACTGGGCTCAGGCAGTTGGTGTGCAAGAGCCCTGGCCTGTTTCTAGAGTGTGGGAAACAGAAGGTTGTATTAGGACACCAGCAATGTTTATATTAAAGATAATGCAAGTAGAGGGAGGGATGGATAGATGGGTGGAGGGAGGGAGGGAGGGAGGGAGGGAGGGAAGGCAGGAGGGAGAGATGCAGGGAGGGAGAGAAGAATGGAATGATGAATGGATGGATGGAGGGAGGGAGAGGCAGTGTATCCCACACTGTAGAAACAAGCCTGCTCTCTCCAAGCTTGCTGAAGCTGTTTCTTTCCTTTTAGGCCAAGTGTAGGAAAACAAATTACATCACTGCAGGCTGGAGAATCTGTCTGCCTCTTGTAATCCATCCTCCATTGCAGGCTGTGTTCTCTCCACTCCTTTCTCCTTCCCTCCCATCCAGCTGCCAGCACCTCCTCCTGTTACAGCTTAGCTTAGAAGTCAAATCAAGCTGGCTGGGGAAGGGGGCAGGTACAGTGATTTCCATTGGTTGAAGAAGTAGCAGGGAGGCTGTGCATGAATCCACCTCTGAAACCAGCCTGCTGGGTCTCACTAAAGGTTATTGGCTTATGCGTCCAGAGCAGCTGTGTCCCTCCACAAGAAAAGAAGAGTCCAAGAGTCCTCAACCTTCTGGCATCAATAGAGGATGTGCAGGTAAATTTAAATAAAAAGTAATAAAACACTATTACATATGAAAGTAGTGGCATCTTAATTTTGGGGGTGCTATGTGGATGCTTAAATAATTTTTGGGGGTGGTTCAGCACCCCCAAGCACCCACCTGACACCACGCCTGTATCATTCTAAGTGGATAGAGATAGAAAAAAGCAGCTACAGGCAGCAACCTGTAAAGGGGGCCTATCTTGGCTGCTATCTAGCAGCAAGACCCAATCCAATATACATTGCTCAGTATAAATGAGTACACCCCAACAGACTTGTCAGAAAACCTTTCCTTTCAGAATCAACATTTTCTATGGGACACTATACTACAAAATACTCCCACAAATGCGGGCTATTGATTGCAAGCAAGATTTGTCACTTTGCACACACAAAAAAAGTATTTTTCCTAACAAATTAATTCAAGACCATACTGCAAAAATGAATACACCCCAATGAAAGTCTTCGGATTTTGTCTAAAATTTAGATTTGCTCCTAATTGAAGAATTCAACTACATGTGAGTCATTATTCATTAAACAGGCATCCAGCAAACAGCTAATTATAAAAGGGTGTTACTTAACAAAGAAATCCCCGTTCCATTTCATGCTGTCAGCAATGGCACCACATGGAAGAGAAATGTCCCAAGGCCTGAGAAAGAAAATAATTTATTTACACAAGAAAGGTGAAGGCTACAAGAAGATCAGCAAAGCTTTTCTTATCAGTAAGAATACTGTGGCAAATGTGATACAAACATTTAACAAAGATGGAACTGCAACCATCTCAGGTCTGTCCAGGCCATCCTTGAAAGTTAACACCTCGACAGGAGAGTCTTCTGATGAGAAGGTTTACTGCAGTTAGCTAAAGAAGTAGAAAGCCAAACTGGTGTGATTGTTTCCCGTAACACAATGTGGCGTACACTGCAGAGGAATGGCTTGCATGGGTGTCGCCCACAAAGGAAGCCTCTCTTAAAGCCCATGCACAAAAAAGTCCATCTAGAATTTGCCAGGGCCCATGCTGAAAACGAAGAAGACTACTGGGACTCTGTACTCTGGAGTGATGAGACCAAGATAAATGTTTTTGGAACTGCTGGCTTCAAAACTGTATGGCGTCGCAAAGGTGAGGAGTACAAAGAAAAATGCATGGTGCCTACAGCGAAACATGGTGGTG